TTAAAAAAAAAAAAAAAAAAAAAAAAAAATAAGAAAAAGAAATAAGAACTGCATAGCATCGTGAATTTGCATTGACAGGTCAATAGTCGCGCCATCTTGAAATCGCACGACCAATCGAAAGATCGGACAAGTAACACGTGGTCCTCCAAGTACGCGCAGAGTGTAGTTTACGAACGGTAAACGAAACGCGAGGAACACTCCGTTGGCCTCCGTCGCTCCTGCGTTCTCTCCCGGGTTCCCTTAGTTTATAAATAAACGACGTGCTCGATGGACTCACCTGGCACGTTCCGCTTTCAACCGTGACACTTATCTTAACGTTTCTTCGCTGGAAGACACGTGTGGATCGTTATTCCCCGACCATTCACGAAGCATCTCCGCGAAACGATCCTAACGACATTCTACTATACCGACAAGGCAGAAACGATGAATCGTTCGATCCAGTTTGCTAAGTTCAGTGCGAAAGGTTTGCCGAGAAATGTGAAAATTCACGGCGACCTATTACGATGTTTCCTCGAATGCCCGCTGCAAGGACTTTCACCCGAACAGATCGAACGTTGCAGGATTTTGGCGCCAACCGTCCGTAATAACGTTGACCTCGACAGATCGAATGGAAAATAACCGTCGAACGTGACAAACGAAGAAAGAAATAATCGGCCGATTATTCGTTTCGCCTCATTGACATTTTCGATGTTATATATACGGTGACAATTTTTCCAGTCATTTTCCAACGAAAACAGATCGTAGAATAAGAACAGGGGTGGGGGTATGGGCAACCATGTTTGGCAACAATGTTCGCACGTGTCTAGAGAAAGCCAACCAGTATACGACGAAAGCATAGGAAGATGGCGCAAATAACGACTGGTTAAATGAAAATTTCTGTGTTTAGGTGATCACGAGTTGGAAGAGGCGAATCGAGGTGGCGTCTCACGATCGATTTCGAGCATCGAATCGACTTATCGAAGAAAATAAATCCAGCTACGCGGATAATCGGTGAGAGGCGGTTCGTGAGACGTATTAGCAACTTGTTGACAGTGTTGCTCAGTGGTTATCTAGCCGGATGGTTCTTAAGGATGTCGGTGTACGTAACATACAAAACTCGGTTATCCAGTCCGCCATTTGCCGAGTTTCCGTGATATGCGTTTACGCGAGTGCCGATTATTTTCCAATTGTCGATCAGTTTTTTCCCGGTATTTTTCTTTTTTGTGAAAAACGATGCGTCGTGCACCTAGTTAACCGAGTATAACGTCGGTACGGTGAATGGAAAGTTAACAGATCACGCGACAGTGATGCAGTGCCGTAGTGTCAGTGCCAAGTGCCACGTGCCCATTGCTTGGATTACTTGAAGATGCCGTCGTCCGGTGGATACTATGACGACAGGAATCCTCTGCTCAAGGGCACCTTATCGAGGTGAGTCTACGTGATTCTCTTTCGAATTTTATCCTACTTTCGTAGTCCGTAACTGCGTCGCGGATCGGTTTACCAGGTTATCGGGATCGCGTTATTTCGTAGCAGAAGCAATGAGCAGAAACGATTCGTGGCTGCTGACGCACATTGATAATGACCGGAGAAAAGTGTGACACGAAAGATTCATTTTACTCGATTACTCGACCAGTGGCTTGATCTCCTTGATGTCTAACCGGTCTGCTGGTTCACTTCTGTTTTTAAATACGCTGGCCTCTGCTTCCACCGTCTCTGTCTCTGATCGTGTAGAGTGCGCTGCTGGTGTCGAACCATATAACCATATAACCGTCGTCGTTTCTTTAACGACGCGCATCGCGGATTCTAGAATTTTTTTCCAATCTTTACAACGTTAACGACTTTTCGTCCACCTTTCGAATTTCGTAACAACGTTTAAGGAATAATATCTTCGAGGGAAAAATCGTTCCACATAAGACAAGGTTCGTTGAACACGAAACTAGAAAGGGCACTATGTCGGCCGAGGCGTTTTGCTTACGCACGTACCGCGTGAAATGCAGTATCAGCGTTTCGCTTACTCTTACCAACATCGATTTAACGTTCAACGGCAATTCGTTCGATTAATTCGTCGTAATGTCTCCTCGGATACAATCCGACGGTCGTGTAGCGCGAGGAATATTCTGCCATTGGCGGGATCGACGTTGCTCTCTCTCTTTCTCTCTCTCTCTCACTGCCACGAATCACCATCGCGAATTCGCTTTCGCATCGAAGATCGAACGATCCTCCAAAGGCGTGGGCGTGCAAGTGTACCGTTTAACTCATTCGACGCGTGTTTATCGCTAAATCGTTGCTCGTTGCGGCACGCATGCGGCCGGACAGCCGTGATGCTGGTACTGTCGCGAAGTGTCGCACGCACATTTCGCTCGGTTAACGGCGGGGTGTTCGATATCGGTGTCCGTGCAGAACAATGGCTACATAATTCGGTTACGTTTGAATCTCGATAGCACTGGAGGGACGGGGTGGTAATATTCTCTGTGCAAATCGTTGCCGCAAGACCCTTCTTTCTCCATTGCTGCTCTCGTAATGGGACAAGCGGGTTCTCGACCATAATAGAACGAATAAAGGTTCTTTTCTTCGCGTCGATTAGTCACCGAGCGGCCGTTGGGATTTTCCTAAGAACGGAAACCGTGCTGGTAACAAATGTTTCGGGATTTCCCGAAATTTCGATCACCCTTTCGAGCTGGCATTTTTCCCACCGTGTTGTACGACGGAGAGACAACGGTCTCGATGGTCGAATTAGAGCTACAGGTAGACGCGTTGACGAAGAGAACGATTTTTCTGGTCGTGGCGCGAGTCGCTGGTAGCAAGAGGGGCTTAATTGGCGTTCGCGTGGTAACTCTCGGACTAGTGGGAACGCGCAAAGGGATACTAGGGAATTTAAGGCGCGCAAGTCGCTTAGGTGGAAGCGTAACCAGTGCATCGGGTGACAGTGACCTAAAAACGGATAGGTATCGTTAGGAGTCTCGGTTTCCGCATCGACTGCGAATAAGGCCGATTAAGCGAGGTAAAAGCCGCGACAGCCTCGAGATGCTGACGCGCGGGACCGTATTTTTCGAGGTCTCTCTTATCCGTTTTGAGACGACCTAAAAAATCCTGCATCCGCCCAATCCGCACGTTTCGTTTCCGATTACCACGAATTTTTCTTCCACGACAATTATCCACGAAGAAGACATACAGATACGTCGAAAGCAAAGCGGAATGCAGTGAACGAGTACTGCGTGATTAGAATAACAGTCCTTGACCCCGCTCGCAACCGCGATCTCGAATTTCGAACGAATCGATCGAAAGAGCGTAGAATTTTGATCGGGATAAATTTCGTAATGGCGAGTGCGCGAATGTAGGGCAAGGTCAGTGGTGTAAAAATGACTCTGCTTTTACGCGTCACCGGTATTTCCTTACGCGCTAAACGGTTCACGGGATTACGCGGAAATCGATAAACGAATCGTACACTTTCGTCACGGCTTACGGAAACGAGACCCGAACCTACGCATGGAAGAACTGTAACGCGAACGGAAACTTGGTAGCTGCGAGAGGAGCGGATCGCGTGACGGCCGAGAGAAAGTCCGCGGCGAGTGTCGTCGCTAGCGAGCTACGTTAATCGTTCCGTAACGATTTCCAAATCGATCCGAAAAGAGAGGGAGCGAGAAGAAATCTATCGGCGGAAAAAACAGGAATAAACGGGTGTTTGAAAATTCCACAGAAATTCCAGGCAGTCGCGACCACACGCGGCGCTAACGAGCACGGTAACGCGACAATTTCCTCGGGACAAAAATATCCGACGGCCTCGTTAAATCGCGTCGATTCATTAGAGAAGTTCCTTCCGCGTCTTCCTCTCAGCGGCCGCGTGCACTCTCGGCTCTCCGGGCTTCGTAAGTAAATTTCTATGCGCGAAGGATGCCGCTGCCGTCGCTACTGCCGCTGCGTACGTGGCTACGGTTAGCTGCATACTCGCGCTACCGTATTATCGACGATACTCGGTTGGCCCGGGGCGCGTAACTCGGTAATGGTCCCCGGTGGTGAAATTAAAGCCGGCTCGAGTACATTCTCTCCTACACGA